TATTGTTTTTTTGTGAGTTGAAAAAAAATGCAAGTGTGATGTACACTTTTGCTATCTAAAGGGCTTAAAATAGACTTACAGTCTTCTCCGTGATATACTATATGTTTAAAAGAAAAATCAAGATAATGGGATGAGTAGTTATTAAAAACAAGGAAGATTTTACGTTCAAATAATCATTGTCAACATTACCTGTATAAAACATTTAATGCTTATTATTTTGACCCATCTATTCAATATCCTGGAGGTATTTCCTCTAAAGCTCATATGATCTTAAAATATATTTTACTAAATTTATGGTAGATATTTAGTTTGTGAATCTGATTCAAAGCTTGTATGCAGTTTATTTATTGTGGTTTTAAATACACGTCCAAAAGTTCTAATAATATCTATTGTACAATGAATGATATGAATTATTTACTTAGGAGGCAATTTTAATGAAGCTAGATCACCAAAAAAACTGAACTTTGAATTGAAAACCAGACCCTTCTTATTATACCACCATTTGAGTCCCATGAATCATAGGTGTTGTCTTTTTAATAATTTTTTTTAGCACAAAGTCGCCGTTTTCCAATTAATTTTAGATATTCTTTTATATATATATAATTTATAGAGCTTGCATAGAATATCAGTTTTGAGAATTGTACATGATGTCTTCATTTATACATATACATATTGGTAAATTAAATTTCTTAAAAAAATATGACGAATATTTTAGATGCCATTTATTAATATTTTTAAATAGCGTATTAGACATTTTTCAAAATGATAGATCATATTCCAAGTTGCTCAATCGTGTTGCGTTTTTTCCTGTAAAATGGAAAACGGACTCAATAATCATATTACAGCCATATTATACATTTCATATTAGTCATAAGTATTCATATTAGTTATAAGTCACCGCCACTACGTAGTTAGAATATTCATCTTCATCTTCATGGTATTAATATTTATTTTTTTATATTATAATTTATAATTATCGTCATCATCATCATTTCAGTCATTCAGTGTGTATAATACATAGTTATATATACCACGGGTGGTATTTACATTTTAATTGGCATTGTCTATAAAGGCTCTGCACTATCGCCCACCTACTAATCGAATACATAATAACCACATAACCCCCTTTTCCCAGGTATAAATGTGGTGAACATCACGTCCATAAATAATTTATAAAACTAGTTTTAAAAAAGAAAGTAAGCATAATAATGAAAATGATTACTAGTTACTACCTATTATTATTATGGTAACAAGCGATGCTCTGTAGGCCGTAATAATAGTATGTGCTTATTGCTTAGCCCAGAGGTATTCAAACTGTGCGTCGCTGCTCCCAGGGGCGTCCCGGGAGTTGTCGAAGGGAGCCGCGTAGTATAATTAAAAACCAATAAATTTTTTTACGAAAAACGTAACTACTACGTACTAATATCATAGAGGCACACCTGTTGGGAAACGTTGAATTGTCTACAATAATCATTCGCTAAATATAGCTTTAATTCATTTTATATATGTAATAATATGGTAAATAAATTATAAAATATAAATTACAATCATATAAACATTGATTTTTTTGTTATTTATAATTTGGGAGCCGTCAACATTTTGTGAAGACTTAAAGGAGCCGTGGGATGAAAAAGTTTGAATACCTCTGGCTTAGCCCATTAGGCGCTGCTCGTTGGATTAGGTATAGGTATATTTATCTCCGACTTACCGACGTCACTGATGTAGATTTACGATAGATTTCACAGAAGAGCGGTTGAGTAATGGTGGCGTCTTCACATTCATCTTATCCGTTGTTTGAGACTCGCCGCCGATGGAGCGAAACACGCCGAAAAAACATGTCTGTGTGTCGGTACCCAAGCAAGGCAGAAGTTAACTCTTAAATGAATATTTATAAGAATTAAAATATTTTACATAAATAAACAATAATAAACGTACCTATAAGCTTTAAATGTATAATATATTACAAGAGTTTAAATTAAAAAAATGTAATTTATACGTTTAACAGCCCGCTGTCGCTTACAAAGTATTCACTTATATATAATATATATGTATGGTAAATATACCATTCTATATACATGGACGATCCATATTATTATGTTTTGAACAGTCACGTCCCAACTATTAAATGCGCCTCTCTTCACCGTACACACACCGCACTCCTGCCGAAACGTCGTAATGAACATTACTATGCACCCCCTGGCTCGCACAATGCACACGTGCAGCTGCCTCATATACTGCCCGCGGCAGCGAGAGTATGGGTAATATATTATTATCTTCGACTAACCAAACCTCACGACGATGGCATTTGTTGAAGATTTATGACCTTAAATTATATTATGATATTAGTTATATAATATTTTTTTTCTCTCGTTTCGTTTTCGTGTTTCGACGTTCGTATTATAAATGGATCGCACAATGGAAAATTACCTACGACAAGCAGCTGCAGACAACGAATGCACGCTGAGCGCCTATAATAACTACAAAGTAATAATTTAGGTACCTAATATGGCCGTATAACATGTTTGGGCAAAACACGATATTTTTATTTTCTAGGAATCGGAAGAACGATTGGGTACTTACGTTCAGACACAAAAATGAATAGGTACAACTAACCGTGGGAAGTGTTATCTTAAACGATATTATTACCACCAAGGGTTTAATTATATTAATATTAATCGTGTAATGTAATAACAGAAGGTAAGTGGAATTTCAAACCACAATGTTATGAAATGCGACTACCGGCTAGGCACCTACATTATTGTACGACAACACTGAAAAGAAGGTACCTAAGATATTAATTAATATTCTTTTTTAGAGTTCGGCCGCCCCGTAGCGCCGTCATACAGTCGCCGATAAACAGATTGCTACGCGTAATAGGCGTAAATGTCATAAATGGCGTCGTGGATCTTTTCGGCGACGCCACTGTGATGGTGTTCTTATAACGGTAGTAATAACTATACTCTGTCTGCAGTATCGACTGGTTATCGCTAATCGGTTGTCTCATTGCATTTACGTAACTGTGTATTCTCATAGATACTTACAAAGACGTATTTTGTTTCCTTTTTAAGATTTTTTTGTAGTTTTCAGGAACATTTTTGTTTGAGCCAAACGTTTTATCGTGTAAACTTATAACTGTACAATCGTTGGTCATAAATATATGGGAGAGTGATATCGCAATAACCCATTTGAGCAAGCCATGTCAGAGACTAGGTGGAGGCGGAATATTTGTGGGTGGGTGCGGCGGTGGCAGTTGCATCTTCCAGAAAAATCAGGAGGGAAACGTAGAATTTTCAAACACCTCCCCGTCCCACCAAAAAAGAATATAGATGGCATTTTATAAAGAACAAAAAAGAATATTAGTGGGATCTGGTCGTGTAAATATGAGAAAGAGATTATTGGTTTAACTACATTTCTATTGTTCATTTATAAATAGATAATATATAATAATATATTGGTCTAATGACGAACGTCTTAAGATTCAACTGAACTGAAAACGTTTATAGTTAACAGTTCAGAGTTCATAAAATCACGACCACCAGTTTTTGGACTATATTCCTACTAGTACATTAATATCGAGGTTAATATTGTTACCATGGTTGTGTCCTATCACATTTGTTGTCGTTGAAACTAAAATATGTGTCCCGAATCACACGGTAGAATCATGATGTAATTAACAGCTCGCGGAATTAATATTTTTTAAAAACAAATTGTTTCATGTGGGTTCACTATAGGTTATATAATTTGTTATAAAATACGTAAATATTAACTATGTAGTTCGAACAATACTTTTATTAATTGTTACATTTTTTATGTGCTCGATATTTTCGTTGGTAATTTATTAAGACGGTATTATATTATTATAATATTGTGTGGTGAGAGGCAGTGGTGGTCAAAGGGGGGGGGGTGAGGGGATAGATCCAACCCATGACTTTTTTTCTTTAATTATAACGATTACATTTATGTATATTGTACTATAATGTTAATGTATTACATTTTGTTTTAATTTTTTCTCAAAATAACCTTATGACTTATGAGCATATATTATTGTTATATTATAGATTCTAGAGTTCTAGACTCATTCTAGGAACAAGGCTGTTATTATTATTAATATTTATTAATTAGTTGCTTATACAAAATACACAGGAATTACCCAGCGCGGTGATCGTGAATATTTAATAACAACACACTCCTCCCTTGACCAGCCCATCAGCCGAAATGTATTAATACGTTATGTATAAATAGCTATGTTATTATAGCCGACCAATTCATCGATTATTATTACATTTGTCACAATATTTTGTTATACAGACCACAGTGTTATGGCTTTCGTAATTCGTACTCGTTACTCGGGTCTCGTAAGTCATACTGTGTCGCGCTTTATACTTACTGTCTGCAAGTCTGCTGTAATTGTAAATTGTAATAGATATTGTATATAATCTATTTTATAATGTCTAATAAAAGAAAAATTACCACCTATTTTACTTGCTCAACCACTAAACACTCGGACTCGGATGAAAAAAATAGTAAGATCCCTAAGATCATTACAGAAAATGAAGTTGTGCCGGTAATATTTGTTTAACTAATTAATGTAAAATGTTTAATTTATGAGGGAAATAGGAATATTAATTCAAATTACCTATTGTATTAGGCTTTAGGCTGTAGATTTCAGTGTCCATGATATTGACTGATGCTGGTAGATATTTGGTAAGAATTAAATCTTTTGTCAGTCATTAATTATACATGTACCATGTGTAGTTGTAGTTCATTATTACAACTAATACAACCAAAATTGATTAAGATTCTTGAAGATGTGTGGATACCACCAGCTACATCCCCCCCCCCGCCATTACAAAATCATTTGACCGCCACTGGTGAGAGGGAGTGCTGATCACTGAAGGCCTGTTGGCGGTGACGTCACAAATATATGAACCTGGAGATGTGGTGTCTCCGGCTACCACACCTAGCGCCAGCGCTGCGGCGGCTTATAAAATAGCTCGCAAATGGTCTCTCGTTACCAGTGTGATCTGTGCACCGACTTTTTCAAATTCCCTGTATGTCTTGTACGTTTCTCTCACACATTCAAATAAGCTAACTGAATAATGGCGTGGATAGTAACTACTACTGTGGTAGTGATGATGACGACCGTCGCTGTTCTCGTAATTTCCAATGATGCAGCCACCATCCAAAACTATAAAGAATTTCCCGGAAGTAACAGTAAGTACCCATACGCATTTTCTAACTGTATTATTACTTAAATCAATTTTCTAATGTTATTCATTTTATTAACTACTGTTATTATATTTTATGAATTTTTTTTCAATTTTGAAATATTTTTTGGATTTTGAAAAATATCATTTTCATTTTAAATATTACTTTACATTCATTATAATTAATAGATAGTTTAAAGCATAGTTTGATAGACTAATTTGTTCTATGAAATAGGATCATAATTGGGGCCACCTGCCTCGTTTTTTACATATTAAGTAATGTTTTCATTTTCAATACTTTTTTCCGGACGGATTAAAAAAAAGATACTTAACTGAAATGCTCATGAAGTTATTATTTACATTTCAACTGAGCTTAAGTGTTTATTTAGTGCTATATTCAATCCGAAATAAACATAGCACAGCATTTTATATTTATTTCATAAAAATAAAAAAATAAAATAGGTACCTAGTTATACTATTGGTTTTGGTATTTTTCGTAATGTTTATTTTTTAAAATGCTTTTTAACCCATATAATTATCTTCCCGACACCCCTAACACATTAACAACACCAAAACCTTTACTAATTTCTTCTCTTATGTGTTTAGTTGTCAAAGATATGTGCCCACCAGTTGGTCTTACCGCAGCAGAGTATCAAGTGTCTGCTATCACCGCGATGGGTTCGGATTCGCTGCAGATTGGTGGTTGTGCTTTAATCGACTTCAAATCTACCGACCTTTTACGAAAATCATTTAGCTTGTGGATTGGAAGTTTGAACAATGGCATGCAACGTTGCCGCGAGGAGGGTAAGTGTAACAAATTATTATTTTAGTATAATATAGGACTCTAACAATATACGCTGCTACCACGGCTATAAGAAAGCTATTGCAGTTTAATAACAGTATAACATGTGTATTACCTACATGTAGCGCATTCATATTAACTATTTCATTCGCAATTCATATAGACTAGGCTGGGTCATTTGGCCCGATATATCGTATTTTCCGTAAAATATTATATATTTATATACTATTATGCAAGGCTGGGCAAGTTAACTAATTATTTTAACTCGTTAAGTAAAGTTCTTATAGAAAAATGTAAGTTAAGTTTAAAATTAAAAGTTACTTTTCTTATTTATGTGACTCGTTAAAAGTTAAAAGTTAAGTTGAAAAAAAGTAACTTAACTTAGTTGAAAATAAGTTACTTTTTTCATGTGCAATTAATTATTATTCCTATTTATTGAAGCTTAACAAATAATATAACCTAATGGAGGCTTTACTATTCTAAAAAAATTTATGTAATTGTGCTAATTATACAGACTTCAGTAGGTACTTAGTAAATACTACTTACATATACTTCATTAAGTTCAATCGATTCTAAAATCCAACAAAATATTTTAACCATCTTTTCGCATATAAGTTTTCAAAAATAATGGTTATTTGTTTAAACTTATATTAACAACTGCGAGTTAGAGAATATAATATAATGGACGAATAATAATTGTTGTCACCAATTAATAATAATTATGTTAAAACTTAAAATCATTCTGGGTTTTTCACCTATCGACATAAAAGGCTATTAATAATTAATAAATAATAATCAACCCGCTGTGTGGTTAAATAGTTTCTTCGTTTATTAAAAGTAAATGGTAAATACGAAGAACCACTGGTTTGAAATTTGAATTATTTGCACTGTGGGCCAAGTTATTGGTGTTGTCCATCATTTATGTGAGTATAAATATAACGACAACTATTAATTAGAAAAAGTAAGAGTATAATTATAGTATATACATGTATACTGGGAAATTAAATAACATGTTTTTATTTTCTCAAAATAATGAATACCCTTATTGCCGTATAGTTCTACAACATTTCTGTTTAATAATAAGATGTGAGCATATTTTCTTTGAATAAGCTATTCAAATATTATTATTTATTACCATTGATTAAAATTTGAAATACTCGTAAATTGTTTCACAAATTGTTTAGGTGGATAGTTGTACTTATATTCGTCATTTTAATACTTATTGAAATCTCATAATTTTCAGAAATAATGCGAAACACTCAGACAGTCTTTAATATTTAGAACGAAAGAATAATAATATATAACATAAATGATATTTAGTTATTCTGTTATTCAAACAATTATTATTGTTTTTTTTTTATGTATAAATAAGTTGTAAAATTCAAAATTTAATTTTAAATCTATGAAATTGATATTAGGAAAAAGAAATAAACTAAAGTGACTTTAAAATAAACTAACTCGTTAAGTTAGGAATTACTTTAAAAAAAAAATTAACTAGTTAAAAGTAACTTAACTTTAATTTTTTAACTCGTTATTGCCCAGTCTTGCTATTATGTAGGTTTATCAGTATGTTACATCCAATATTTACTTAAACGGTTGATTTTACTACACTTCTACTTATCCAAAATAAAATATGAAATAATTATTTCACAGAATAAAATTTAATTTACAACCATTTTAGTTCATAAGTTATTGACATTTTTTAAAAGGTAGGCAAGTAAGAACCGCTCTTCCGTAAATTATAATTATGTTAAATTTGAATTTCATGATATAAAACCATTGTATACGAAAATCGATAATGAGCAATTGAGCAAAGTAGACTGTCAGCCTATTGGTAGGTGTTAGTCATGTTACTTAGTTTATTTTATTTTATATACCATTGCTATTTAAGTAATTTATTTTACTATTAATACTACCGTAATTTGAATTAACTTTTCCCAAAACATTGAATTTGAAAATGCCATTGTGTGTATAAAATAACTTTAAAAGGTCAAGTACCCATGCATAATAATATATTTAAACTGCAACAAAGTAACTAAAATTGTAAATTTTTGTTTAAATATTTCATTCCATAAAAATTTGAACTTATCATATATATTAGCAAATTTGTTTATTTATATGTTAGACGTTTTGATTAAGGTATAAACGAACGAGAAACCTTGTTTTATAAATGATCAATCTCAGCTATAAAAATCATACATTGTAAACGGCATTTTATTTTTTCAAATTTAAGTGATTTTTATATTTATATTTTTAGAAATTTAGTAACTGTTATTTTAATATTTTATAAGGAAACTTGTATAACTCCAATACAAATTACTACATTTATTCAGAATCTAAATATTTGATGATAAACTATCTGATGATTTTTCAATGAGGGATAGGCAAGTACCTACGGCCTCATCCACTAATTACAATAAATTAAAATGTATAATGTATAAATATGCTTTAAGAACATCACACTATACCACTTTAACTGAGCTCGTATATTTATTCGGTCGTCCACGGGTGACTATTTAGGTATGGAACATTTCAGCTTTTCCTGTCTATCAGAATCACCCTTGCTGACGTCAGACGAATACATGAAGGGAGTTATGTATGCACAGCTATTAGGTCGAGTCAACAACAATAAGTACAAATCAAGTATCAGATGTGCCGTAAGTATATTAAGCCTTAAATGGTTATGCCAACTGGTGCATTTGAAAACCAATTTAAATTTGTTATTTAGTTAACTTGGGACCGATATAATTACATTGTTTCAATTCCGTACAGTCGATTTAAATATGTTTTCAGATTTTTAATTAAATTACTTTATACTACATCTCAAAATATAATACTTTTATTTGCAAATCTTCGCGATTAGGTATATACTGAGTATTGTATTAGACTATTTAAAAAAAAAAATTGTATTCGACTCTTAAAACAATTTGCATAATGCAGGCACGCCCGCAGAGATGTAACTCACTAGGTGCAAAATATTTTTAATATCAATATATGATGTGGGGGGCTTTGCCCCCCACACCCCCTAACACTTATTACATGACATATATTATTTATCATCAATAATGGGTATAACAACATATATTTAAAACAACTCATTTTATTTATTACTTCTTATAAAATATAAAAATTAGATAGAATTTTAGATGTATAACACACACATACATATATATATATATAAATAATAGTGTACCACAGAATAGATGTCAGATAACGAAATTCATAATAATATTATTAATGACCAAAATAAATGTGACCTAGACGCGTGGTTAGACGTGACTGTACACAGTACTAAAATGCGGCAGACGGTGGTATCTCAGAATAGCCAGATGCCAGAATAGCTAATAAGTATATTAAATATTAAATTTACTATATTGGGAATAATCATGGGCATAAATTAAAAATTTACAGAGAAGGAATTTTTATATTTTATTATTTATTTGAAAAATCCAAATTATTAAAGTTCTCAGGTGGTGCATTTGCACCACCTGGCCCGCCCCTCCGGGCGTGCCTGGCATAATGTACTTAAACAATTATTAACTGTTTGTCTTCTTGAAACGTTTGAACGACAATTTAATGTAATTTATAGCAGCATTTTCCACTTCGACCAATCGGATACGAGCTCCCCATAAATTTAAGTTTCTTCACATTATATGATTTGGTTGATTAATTATTTTCTGTTTCTCTCTTTTATGCATATCGAAGATTCATGATAAGGTCAAAGGCAATGCCACAATGTTCCGTATGGCAATTAGCGGGGATGACTCATGTCACGGGTTGGCAGATTTACTGCAATCAAACCTGCAAACGACGATTCCTAGTGGAGCCATGGTACTGCAATTGCATAGATCCAGATTGCTATCGAAGAAAATAAGAGCCGAGCGCTCGACATCAGATGGCAGTACCAATATTACAAACCATTTGTCAGAACCTAGATACTTCTATCAGATGGGTTGAAAGGTTGTAGGTAATACCCCTAAATAATCATGACTTCCTGATTACAATTATTATAATAAAAAATTTCAAAAAATAAACCACTTGTGTGTATTTTATTTATACTGCATCACCCAATCAGTATGTAAGCTAACTAAACCCTTTTCATTTTCTGTGAAATAAATGAACATATAAGTAAAAATGGCTATTTTTATTTTCATTATGATTCTTATTCCACAACAATGTGTTTTAAATATATAACGCAAAACTTTAAAGAAATATTTATGATAGGTTTTTCAGTATTTGAAGTCATCAGATTATTAATAAGTAAGATTAAAAACGTATTTAACATTTACAACTTAAATAAATACCATACAATTTAACATATTCTATAATACTTAAATATGAGCTTTTCATAAAATTGCTTACAAAAACAAAACACCATAAGATATATAAATAGCTCTTTAATTGTTTTGATATTTTTGTCCGCCATTTATATTTCAATATTTAAGTGTTTTAATTTTAACAGAAGCCATTGGTATTACTAGTTGTATTCAAACATAGGTATAAGCATCGATCACAAAAATGTAGTATTTAGTATAATCTATGGTATTAGGTACTCATTAAAATAAATACAAACTTGTAAATAGTTTACGTATGAGTTTTAAGTGCATTAAAAAAAAAAAAAAAAAATTAAATATAATATGAATTTAATAATCTCTAAAAATAATTTCTGAAACTTTCACCAACTTTAAAATTTGACAGAAATTCTTTATTATTTGACTGAAAAAGGGAGAATAAATAATTTCACAAATGTTAAAGTGTTCTTATAGGTATTAATGTATTATAATATATCATTGAATGTATTCAACAACAACTTCATAAAAAAACTCGAAGTGTTATAGTTTAATAAGCAACAGTGTTAAATACATCTTTAAGTATCTGGTGTTCCATTACAATCGACGTCAAACGCTTGGAATGGAAAGGCCGTAAACAGGGGAAAACAATCAACTATATGAAAACTAGTTGAAATGTCGAATTAGTAACATCAATAAATCTGGAGTGTGTACTTTATAATTTGGGAGAACAAAATGAGAAAATTATCAAACTGATAATACCTGCCCAAAAGTTATCAAATTTGTATGATAACATCGTTACCTTGTTCAAACAACATTTTATTGCCTTAGTTCCAATTTATTGGTATAGCTCTATTTTGATTTTATTATCGCTGATAAGGAATTATCATTTTTATAAGTTTTGGTGAGCGGTCGTAATCACCTAGATCCCCAGATAACTAGATCCTCAAGACCTAAATGACATGAACAGTAATCTAGTTAACAGGGGATCTAAGTAATCACGACTAACTAGTTGACCGTAGGAGAACTAGTTGTCTCGGAATCTAAATAACTAAAAACATTTATAAAAATATAAAAAATAATTTTAAGCTTTTTATGACATGAACCTAATCACACCAGTCTATACTTCTCAGTACATCAGTATTAACCACAGACCAAGATAGTCAGGACATCCATAATATCTATAGCAACTGCCAACTGGTGCCTACTACTAAAGTATTATTCGTATATATGTCGCATCCACATAGTGAAACTACTCATTTCATGAACTGGATATCCAGATAGGGAAATTCGTCCAGATATTGAATTTTGACGAAAATACATTATATGGACATCCATTTCATGAAATGGACAATAACTATATCGTGTACTTTGTGTAATTATTATTTTATTATATAATGGTTCATAAACTATCATTATACATTTATACGTATATTATATTTAATTTTTCACGATTGATTAATATATAGGTAATTTTCTATATTGTTCTATACACAAAAATATAGCAATTATAGTCAATAAATTATATCATATTACATTATATTTTTATTTTATTTTTCATAAACCATACGTATATTATATTTTATAAACAACAGTGTTACCTATGTCCTATATCAAGTGTTGTAAAATATTCATGAAATTAACTATAATAATTATAATATTTAGCTACCTATATTTCTCTATTGTTTTATTACCTAACAAAATAATTAATTGATTAACATAAACATACCTTAAATGGCTTAAACTTTACATACATTTTTCCCTTATTGTTTATTTTTACACGACGATTGATTCTGACATCGAATGTTACATTGCATATTTTTTTTAAAACAAGTACACCTATTTGATTGGCAAGGATTTTTTGCCTTACACGAACAAGACAAAAATCCTTGCCCTCCTGAAATTTTTTTAATCATTTCTCTCACCTAAAATTCAACATTTTTATCAACTTGATCAGTAGTGAGAAATTGAGTTGTTGATTTTTTCAAACATTCACTACTGAACCATCCTTTGAGTAAACCATATTTTGTTCCAAGCTTATGTAATCCTTTTTTTTTTGTTCCGTGATCACGCAAATTATGTTTGGGGGATCTGTAGGTTAGGTTATAATTATAGTTAATTTCATGAATATTTTATAACACTTAATATAGGACATAGGTAACAATGTTGTTTATAAAATATAATATACGTATGGTTTATGAAAAATAAAATAAAAATATAATGTAATATGGTATAATTTATTGACTATAATTGCTATATTTGTGTGTATAGAACAATATAGAAAATTACCTATATATTAATCAATCGTGAAAAATTAAATATAATATACGTATAAATGTATAATGATAGTTTATGAACCATTTTATAATAAAATAATAATTACACAGAGTACACGATATAGGTATTGTCCATTTCATGAAATGGATGTCCATATAATGTATTTTCGTCAAAATTCACTATCTGGACGATTTTCGCTATCTGGATATCCAGTTCATGAAATGAGTAGTTTCACTATGTGGATGCGACATATATATATTTACTTTTCTATGCGTAATGTGTTTACTGATATACCTAATATTTTGAGTAAAATTACAATGTGCTTTATCAAAATGTAATATTAATTAATAAATAGTAAGATAATAAGTTGTATCATGAAAACTAAAAACTGTCTTACAAATTATTATTTATTAAATTGTGTATTATTTAAATATTTCTTTAGATTAACTTCTTTAAATAAACAATTAAACATTATAAGAACAATACAACTCCCTATCAAACAATTTATTATTGCCATTTGAGAACTTTACTTGTCTAAACCCACGAATTAATAGGCACTGATTACGCCAAGTACCTATCACTCCGCCACCGATCGACACACACCACACACACAAGTACACAACACATCTTAATGTGTATCACCGATAGTAAAATTATAATTTTTAATTTATTCTTATGTTTATAAGTTTATTAATTGTCCAACACAAATCGTCAGTGTTTTACCTTCGTATATTATTATTGTTTTTTAAATCTGTCACTTGCGCAAATCGCCGTGCTTACTTTTATTTATTTTTTTTTTATTTATTAATGAATCGAAAATACAAAGTGTACAATATATTTAAATTGCATATAATAGTATTAGCGATTTATCTATCTCCGGTAAGCGATGCTTGTGTTGGAGATAGAGAGTTAAGATAAAATATCACATGATAGTTAAGACAAAGTACAGATAGGTCACAATAATATATAAAAAAAAAAAAAAAAAAAAAAAAAAAAAATAGAGACAGTACAATACATAAGGTGAATTACAGTTCGGAATAAAAATAAAAATAAAGTAATACGAGTATGTACATTTATACGTTTTTACAAACTATAAAACTATATAAGAGACTTAAAAATAGAGTACGCGGAGAAGCGAGGAGAAAATATATAAATATACAGACATTTAAGATAATTTGAGTAGTAGTTGTGATACATGCTTGGGTATAGGTAATTAAATTTTAATCGTAGTAATTATTATCTAAGTTACAGAAAAGCCATTTTTTTATATATTGTTTAGCAGTATCATAAGATTTAGAACATACATTTTTTTTCGTTTCTAGGTCCATTTTGTTGTAACATACCGGACCAAGATAGTCCAAGAATCTTTGACCAAAAGTTGTGTTTACATAATTTACAGTTATATTGTATGCTCTACATTCTCTTTTATTTTCTAATTTGTCTGCGGAAAACCAAGTATTAATAATGTTTTTTTTTACCCATAAAATTGTAAATTTAGCATGCACTAGTTTTACTGGCAAAACTCTGAGTTCTAAATAATTTGTTTTTGTAGAACCATCAAGACTATGTTTGTTTAGGCAAATTCTTATTATTTTGTTTTGTTGTAGTTTAAGTGGTTTTAGATTATTTTCTGTGAGGCCACCCCATATTATAATACCATACTGGAATATGGCTTGATAAAGAGACAGATATGCAGTTCTAATAATTTCCACTGGTAAAATTGATTTTAGAGAAAGAAAATGATGTACTGCTGTGCGTAATCGCATTACTAGATTACTAATATGTAAGTTCCATCTTAAGTGTTCGTCAAATATTATGCCCAAATAACGAAATCTTTGTACTCTGAATATTTTTTTACAATTTATGTCATTGCATTCGTTTTGGTTTCTACAGATATGAACTGTTAAATCGTCAATTGGAACGTGTGTGTTGTTAATGGTAAAAGTCATAAAAAAAGTTTTTTTTATATTAAGAGATAAGTTTCGTTTATTTAGATAATTGATTACCTTTTTTGTATCATTTATTGCTTTGTCAAGTACAAGATCCCAAGAGTAGTCTGAAAATAGCAGACATGTGTCGTCTGCATACGTTATAATTTTCCCGTCTATAGTCATATTACAAATATTGTTTATATATAAGATAAAAAAAATCGGTCCTAGTACACTGCCCTGGGGTACTCCACATGTAATTTTTTTTTTGTCTCCTAGGGTACCATTTATATTTACGATTTGTGTTCTATTTTTTAAATAACTCATTATCCATTTCAGGCTGTTAGATTTAATTCCAAAACTGGGTAAGATATTAATAAGTTTGTCGTGATTTACTGTGTCAAACGCTTTAGTTAGGTCTAAGAAAATTGCTAAGGCTTTTTTTTTATTGTCAAGAGCATTACTTATATATTTTGTTACATTATAAAGTGCATCTTCTGAACTTAATCCTGGTCTAAAACCAAATTGATTATTTGACAGTAGTTTGTTTTTTTCCAGATATGTTATAAGTCGAGTTTTTATAATTT